CAGTACTTAACTAAGCCCCTCCTCGTATTAACTCAGTAAAGCCTCAGAGCAGCCCAAGCAGAGAGCAACAATTATTCTACAGATAAGATACAGGAATCCAGGTTGCCCAGGATCAGGCAGCTCATGTCCACCACGTGTTTAAGATGAAATTTCCACTCCACAGGCCTTTCAGCCCCAAGACAAAGGATTATGAAATTCGACAAGTTATTTCTTAGGACTTCATGGCTTTAGAGACAGGTGTGGTGGCACAGCGGGCCGAGCCATGGCCTGCGACACCAGCATCCCACATGGCTGCTGGTCAGAGTCCCAGCCGCTCCACTTCCGCTCTAGCTCCCTGCCGGTGTGGCTGCGAACGCAACGAGATGGCCCACATGCTTAGATCCCTGCACCCACAGTGGAGGCTCCTGAAAAAGTGCAGGCTCTTGGGTCCAGCCTGGCCCAACCCCAGTCATGGTGGCCATTTGGGGAGTGAATCAGCAGATGGAAGCCATCTCCTTCCTTGTCAACCTGCCTTTCCAAGATCAATAAATCTTTTTAAGAACTTCATGAGTTTTGAAAAAACGGTTAGTACTTTAGCAACAGCTGAATTCTTCATCCCAATCACTACATTTATCATTGTTTTAAAATCAATTAAGAAACAGAAGCAGCCAGCAGGGCAATGTCATTAGTGTTCCCCTCTTGATTTTTAACAAAGTCCAGAATCTGCCTCCCAGAGAGCAAGACTCGGGGCCTGGCAGGCAGTAATCCAGAATCTAGGCTAGAAGATGGCCTCAAAACGCTGCCCGGCACACCTGTTCACAGGTGTGTCCACGAGGCACACCTGTGCTCATGGCCTGCTCTTGGCCTTGTCAGCTTTCAAGCATGCCCTTAGGTGCTGCCCCCAGCCAGCAGCACCCTGCCCTTCCTCTTCTCCAACCACGCAAGCCTCAGCCAGCTGTCTGGATGGTCCAGTTTCACACAAGACAACAGAATCAAATTCTCCTTCTGATCTAGAAAAGTCGATACCGCTCAGCTCAACACACATCAACTAACAGCAGGTATTCAAAGCAACCTGTCCAATGTACTTCAAACCATGGATGCGTTAAAGCAGATCCTTCTGGGGCCGGTGTTGTGGCATGGCAGATAAAGCCACCACCTACAATGCTGGCATCCCTTGTGGGTACCAGTTTGAGACCTGGCTGCTCCACTTCCCATCTGGCTCTGCGCTCATGCGCCTGGGAAAGCAGCAGAGGATGGTCCAAGTGCTTTGGCCTCTGCACCCATGTGGGAGATCTGGAAGAAGCTCCTGGCTTCAGCCTGGCCCAGCCCCAGCCACTGTGGCCATCTGGGGAGTGAACCAGCAGATGGAAGAGAGGATCTGTCTTTTCCTCTCTTTGTGTCTAACTCTGACTTTCAAATAAAATAAATTTTAAAAATCCTTCTTCCTTCATGATACTACTACTTCCACAGAATACAAGTTGATTTACTATGGATAAACAAGAGTCATCCAGAATTCCTGGCAGGTGAAACTTGGGAGTTCTTGGTATTTAGCAGGTGCAACTACAAATGCACACCTTGCATCACAAAAAGGTTAAAAAAAAAAAAAAGCTGCAAACGCACATACATTTATAGGTAACACGGCCAGCGCTGTGGCTCTCTTGCTTAATCCTCCACCTGCGGTGCCGGCATCCCATATGGGCGCCAGGTTCTAGTCCCGGTTGGGGCACCGAATTCTGTCCCGGTTGCCCCTCTTCCAGTCCAGCTCTCTGCTGCGGCCAGGGAGGGCAGTGGAGGATGGCCCATGTCCTTGGGCCCTGCACCTGCATGGGAGACCAGGAAGAAGCACCTGGCTCCTGGCTTCAGATCGGCGCAGCGCGCCGGCCGTAGCAGCCATTTGGGGGGTGAACCAACGGAAGGAAGACCTTTCTCTCTGTCTCTGTCAAATAAAAAATTTATACGTAACACTACACTGTAGCATCATCCCTAGAGAAGACACCTGCCTCAGTGCGGGAAGACTCGTGGTCGGCCACTCAGCAGGAAAGCAGTGAGACAGCGGAGCCTCAGAGAGCCCTGCCTGCAGCTTCCTTCCTCACTACCCCTGCACCTGCCTCTCCGACGACAGCGACCACCCAACGCCTCGCCCTTGCTGTACGACTTCGGTTGAGAAGAGTTGCCAAGGGCAGGGTTTACATGTCCCACCCCTTTGGGCGGTGAACGAGGGGGCTTGGGGCTCCCAGCATCGGTTATCGGGCTGCTTACAAGGACAGCTCACTCTGGGGTCATTTCCTTCAGTGCCCGTAAGACCAAAATCTTAAAATGCTCATGGGTGTCAACTGCCACTGAGCTTTCCGAAAGCGCAGATGTACAAGTAGCCCGGGGGGGGGGGGGGGGGCAGAGGCCAAGTCCCGAGTTCTGGGCCTGGCGTCCCCAGAAAATGGCCAGTGATTTGCCAAGGTCACCTCTGGCTGCCTGTGTCTTAAGGAAGGAGATCGGGGCTCCCCGGCTCACTCATTGTCAGGTGGGGCTAAGACAGGGTCGACTGGATAAAGTAACTCAAAAGCAAGAGTCCCAGCCCCCAGACCATCAGGACAACACAGCACAGAAGGCCCTGCCAGCTTCCAGATGGCCCTGTGGAAATGGTCAAGTTCCGGCCAGCCAGGTTCCGAGAGCCTCCCAGGGAGCAGACAATGGCTGCAGTCCCCAGGCCCTCGCGGGTGGCCCCGGGGCACTGAGTGGATACCAGCTCCCCGGCTGCCCCCAGAGATGCATATCACGAACAACAGAAAACCTCTTGGGCCACAGAAATTCATTCTGAGGAAACCCTGCAGTTCCAAGTCTGCTTCCTGGATTGTGGTCCGGATTTTTGGCCGGCTGCTCCCTTACAGGCAAGGAGGTAACAGTCACTCTAACTAAAAAGGGACTGCCGCTACGGTACAGACCCCCGAAGGTGCACACCGGTCAGCCCCTGCCTGCCCCGCCAGCCTGCCCACTGCTTTCCTGCAGTGTGTTCAATGAATCTAGCACTGCTCACTCTCTGGCGAACTATTTTCACATCCTTTGATGCTGGCTCAATCGACTGCATCCCTCGGGATCAAAGACTCTAGAAGTCAGGAGTCAACACTTCTGAAAAGCTCCAACAGAGCCCGTGCAGTCAAGGCGAAGCCAGCGTTCAGAAGTTCTCAGCACGACCTTGGCATAACCCGAGGCCGGGCAGCAAGGTGAGGCCAAGGCCATTATAATGCCTTTACCCAAGTGTCCAGGGAAGAAGGTTCCTTGATTAACTATTCTGGTAAAACACTCTCCCACATACACCAGAGGTGGAGGTCACACTGCCAAGTCCCTTCTGGGTGAGCCTGAGCAAATCCGCACTCTTAGGGGTCTCACCAAGAGTGACTCAAGGCCAACAAGAACAGCTTGCTACTGTACAAGCAGAAGAAATGCAAGACGAGCCCCGGTTTGCTCAACAGACCCTGTCGGGACTGCAGTCCAAGCCGCGGTGAGAACTAGGCTCTCTTCAGTGCCCATAAAGCGCAAACTCTCCCCTAAGCAGGATCACCTTCCCAGCCGAGCAGCAGAACAAACCTAAGGGCTGGGTCCAGCGTCAGTCACAGTCCTGGGAGCTGCTGAAAGCTAAGAGGAGAAAAGCACCCTGTACCCAGTGCCTCCACAAGTGAGATCTAATTTCTTCGACTTCCCATTAGCTGTTAGCTCCTGTATTACGGTGTATTGAACCCCAGTGGGGGGAGGGCGTTTGAGCCGCCTGCATCCCATATCAGATCCAGCTTCCTGCTAACGCGCCCCCTAGGACCCAGCAGCCAACCGCCCTGCCATCCACAAGGGTCCCAGGCTCCTGGCTTCGGCAGGCCCAGGCCTGGCTCGATGTCGGAGCCAGCCAGCGGATGGGACTTCTCTCTCTGGCTGTCTGCTTTTCAAATACATACATCAAGGAGCTGAATGGTAAGATGGAAGCTGTTCCCTAAATGACACACAATTACTGAAAACCAGAAAGGGAGGGTGAGGAAGCCGGAGCTCAGATTCAGCTCCCTTGGTGTGCCTCCAGGACTGGGCACTCCACAGCTACCCCGCCTCACGGCTTCCCCTGCCACGGTGATTCAGTTTAAACCTGAAGCGTGAAGGCCGGAGTTAGGCAACACAGAACGGCTGGGGTTGGGAAACCCAGGAGGGCAGCGCTCGGCCAGGAGGGCAGCGCAGCTGGTTCCCAGGCGTTCTCCTCCGCATCTGCAGGGCCTTTTAACAACCCTCAGCACCATTTCAGGATAATAAACAGGTGTGCCACTCTGCGCACAACTCCCCGACTTACATTTTTGCAAACACAAAGGCCACTGCTAAAGGGGCCGAGGGTGGTGCAAAACCTTCCAGAGCGGAAAAATCCGGACCCCACCACCACCACCACCTCCGCGACGTTAGATTGCCAACCGGACCGCGGCAGGGTAAGGCTGGAGGAGAAACCCACTTTCTTCAGTGACTGTGGAAAGCAAAAGCGCCTTCCAGGTGCAGGGCGCGGAACACACACACATGCAGAGATGATAAACATCAACACAGGGGCTAGGCATGTTCTTCAGGCCACTTCGACGCCTGACCAGGCTGGCCAGCCTTCCGCCCCCAGGATGGGGGGGCCAGTCCCTCGCGCTCACGTGCGCCCTCCCTCAGGAACAACACGGCTGCGGGAGGGTCACCCCACGCCCGGAACGGCAGCCTTGGGGACGGCCCCAACCGCACCTACTCGGGTCCCCAGGGAGACGCGGCCACCCGGCCACACCCGCCTCGCCCACTCGTCCCTCACCAAGCCCGGGCCGGCAGCCCCAGCGCCGCCCGGTCTCCCAGCCCCCTCCCCAGGCCGCCCCAGCAGGTACCGGGCCGCCCCAGGCGCCTGCGCAGTGCGCGCCCCTGGCCCACCCGGGCAGGGGGAGCGGCAGGAGGAAGCCCGGTCCGGCGGGGTCCGCGGCTGGCGGGCGCTGAGAGAGCCCCCTTCCCCAGGACTAGGGGGTCCCGGGGCTCACCCGTGCCCAGGAGGCCGGCCAGGAAGAAGAGCGCGTACATGGCGCCGCTCGACTCCGCAGTCTGCAATGCAGGGCGTCAGCTGATGCCCGCGAATATAAAGCCGCCCTCCGCCCGAGCCGCCCACGGCGCAGGCGCAGGCGCCGGCCCCGCCCCGGCCTGACTCAGCGGCGCTCAGGGCGCCTGCGCCGTGGGCGGCGACGCGGGGCGGGGCGGCGGGGAGGTTCCCGGGGGCGGGAAGGCGGCGCCCGAAAGGCCCGGGAGCGTTAGTTACGCAGGTCGCCCGCGAAGCCTCTCAGCCAGCGGTCGCGGTGGTTGGCCCGGTTTTACGATGCCCGGGTTCTACGGCCAGGCTACACCCACCCGGTGTCCATGGGTCACATTGCCGAGGCTCTCATCCAGCTTCTGAGGACGTCGGGGGAGCCCTCGGCAGCCTCGACCGGGAACGCCACAAAACCTTAGAGAACCAGCCGCTGTGCCTCAGGGCCACGTGGCCGGCAGGCGATTAGGAAGGAATGTTCAGGTCTGCTTACAATGTCCTCAGAACCGGAATCCGGTCACCCCTGCACGGGCACCTTGGGCACAATGCCGGAGGCCCGCAGCGGCTGGAATCCTGCGAAGGCCCCTCCCGGGGTGGCCTCACGCTCCGTTTTGGAAGCTCTGTAACGTTTCCCTCCAGGGTCCACAGCCCTGGCCTGGCTGGGGTCAGCCCGGAGCGCGTTCTGTGCCCTGCTTTGCTAGACCATTTCCCATGCACCATCACCTTTGTGAGACGCTGGGCTCCCCAGCCCTCCCTCCACCCCCACCCCCAGACAGGCGCTGGAGTGGAATCGGAGCAGGGGGAGACTCAGAAGTGCCTCCGGCACTGGAGGAGGAAAGGCAGGATTGGAGAAGCCAGCTGAAAAACCCGCCTCGCTGGAGAAAGCAGCAGCCTCACCTCATTGCAGACAAAGAGAGGCAAACCTGGAGGCCCACACAACCACAGGCTGCGTGGCCGGCCCTGCTGGGTCCTCAGCCGGGTAATGGCTGGGACAGCAGCTGTCAGCCCCAAGGGAAAGGGGGCAGGGTCTCAGTCCACTTGGGCAGGCCCTGGGAGGCAGTGTAGCCCTGTTCCATCATTGTGCCTGTGGGAAAACAGGCCTGGAGAGAGAAAGGCATGTATCCAAGGTCACGCAGCCGCTGGGAGTGGAATCTGGTCCCAGTGAGGTCTCCCTCCCACCTCCGTACTTGCAATCCCCTCAGGAACAGCCCACAGACGCGGGAGGCCCTGAGGCTTCCGCCTGATCCCCTGCTGCCACCCCACCCCCCATGCTGCAGCTCTGAGGTCCCCGTCAATACCCTGCCAGGGAAGTGGACGCCCCGGGGGGCATGTGGAGCCCCTGAGTGCAGCTGCGACCAACTCTAACCTGGATGCTTCAGGGGTCGGCCTCCGTGGCCGCACACTGGTGGCCGCACACTGGCTTCATTGTTGCCCGGTGCACGGGTGAACCGTCAGCTGTTGCAATGCAAGAGGGGCTCCAGGACAGGGAGCCGCCCTCAGCTGCTGGCCAGTGGAACAGAACGTCCCAGTGGTCCATCAGAGCTTAGTAAGAGTCCAAGTCAAAGGGAAGCAGAGGGGTTGGCACTGTGGCATAGCCGGTAAACACAAGCGCCGGTTCCAGTCCCAGCTGCTCCACTCCCGCTCCACTCCCTGCTAATGTACCTGAGAAGGCAGCAGAAGACGGCCCAAGTTCTTGCACCCGGCCACCCACATGGGAGACCCAGAAGATGCTCCTGGCTCCTGGCTTCTGCCTGACCTGGCCCCCGCCATTGCAACCATCTGGGGAATGAACCAGCACATGGAAGATCTCTCTCCTTTCTCTCTGTCTCTCTGCCTTTCAAATAAAATAAATCTTTAAAAAAAAAAAAAAAGAAGAAGGCGGTGCCGTGGCATAGAGGGTAAAGCTGCCAAAGCAGCCGCAGCAGCACAGAGCCCTTTGCGTGAGCTCTCTGGCAGGAGCAGGGCCCGGAGCAGCTGGGATGCCTCGTCCACAGCAGTGTTTTGGAGATCAAGTGTGGGGCTGTTCCCTTTCCTCCCCTGGGACTCAACGGTGGCTGTTTACTTCATCTGCCTCCTCTGAACCCTATGAGGACAGAATTTTCCTAAAGACCATGCAAGCAGTGAGCCGATTCTGCAGATGTTTTAGCCAAGGCAGTGCGGGCCCGTGTGGCTTTCAGCCCCGGTAGACACACACGCCCACTCCTGGGAGGTGCCCCTGTGGCTGAGGAGGGGTCACAGACAGGCCTTCCTTGCAGTGGAAACTGGACAGGTCCAGGTGCGGGACGGTGGTGGGGTCACCAGTACCCATGAGGGCCCAGGGCTGTGGGTTGCAGCAGCCTCCCCCCTGCCCAGGCTGTCCCAGGAGGGCTGTGACTTTCAGAGAGGAGGGGAACAGAGACTTGGAGGTGGGGAGAGTGCCTGCTAGGTTTCGGTGAACTCATTTTCCACTGTTTAATTTGCCTTGTCACTTGAATATTTTTTAAAGAAAACAGTGAATACAGAGGAAAGTGTAAAAGAGAAAAGAAAATCCCCTCCCCCGTGCCGGAGCTGGAAGCCCAGGCCTCCAGGGAACCAAGCAGCGGGTAGTTCTCAGCGGCCCCGCTGGCAGAGCTCCCCCCCTGCCTTTCACTTCTGGGTCTCGGTTCCTCCCGCGGCCCCCGTGGCCCAGCCCAGGGTCTCCCGAGGCTCTCACCCACCACAGCCTTTTCACAGCCTTGTGCCCCAGAGGAATGCCACCTGCTGCTGCTGCTACAGCGGAAGGGCCACCCGGCTGATGTAGCCCAGTCGCGGTGGCGTCCACTGTGAAGGCCCGGCCCAGGCCCTGCTCCCAGAACTCCCCTGGGGCTCTCCAGGTGGCCACCCTGGGGGCCCCCTCAGGCCCTGAAATACCACTCCCCACTGTGTCACAAACAATGACGACGATGAGGCTCCTGCACCCATCTATCACAACCTCTGGCCTTGGCCTCTCCTGCCTGGGTCTGCTACTCTGGAGACCCCAGGTGTCACTCAAGGCAGTCTGGGCCTTGCCCCCAAGGACCCTGCTCCCTGTCACCCGCCCCAACCCCCAGCCTTCTTTGCTCCTGCTGTACCCCCACCTCCCCAGGGCTGCCTGAGAATCGCCAGCTCCGTGCTCCTCGGCGCCTGCCCTGCCCACCCTTGGTGAGGGCTGCTGTTGTGTGCCAGTACCCTCACCCTGTCTCCTTGATCTCCACGGAAATCCACCCTCCCGTTTCCAGGTAGGCAGCTGGCCCAGCAGTTACGACAGCGCAGGGTCAGATGCTTGATCCCACATTGCAGCGCGGGCTTGATGCTCAGCTCCTGCTCCTTCCCACCAACGCAGCCCCTGGGAGGCGGCAGTGATGGCTCAATGATGGGGTCCCTGCCACCCACGGGGGAGACCTGGACTGAGTTTCCGGTCCTTGTCCAACTTCAGCCCAGCCCCAGCCATTGCAAGCATTTGGGGAATGAGCCAATGGGTGGGAGCTCTCTCTTTATCTCAAATAAATAATATTATAAAACAAAACCCTTTCATTTCTAGCTGGGTCCATGGCCACCTAGAATAAAGACTACATTTCCCAGCCTCCCTTGCAACCACAGAACCAAGAGGTAAAAGACCAATACCCAATTTGTGACTCCCAGCTGCTGTTCTTAGAAGGAAGGCATAAATCCAAGCCAGTGTTCACATTTTAAACAGCTGGTCCTGCCAGGCCGATGCTCATAGCGCTGGAGAGACATCCTGGGAGGCCCCTGCCCAGCCAGCTTACTGTGGTTCCTGGGGGGTGGGGGGGAGGCATCAGGGGGCCAGCAGGTACTCACCCACTGGTACAGAAGTCATCCATAAATAAAACTTTAAAAACTTATTTTATTTGAAAGGTAGAGAGAGAGAGATCGCCCATGAGTTGGTTCACTCCCCCAAATGCCAGTGACAGTCAGACCTATGTCAGCCAGAAGCTGGGAGCTAAGAACTCCATCCAAGTCTCCCACCTAAGGGGCGGGGACTCAACCACTCACCTCATCAGCGCTGCCTACCGGGAACTGGAACTGGAAACCAGAGCCAGGAATTGAAACCAGGCACTCCTCTATGGGATGTAGGCATCTAAACGGCTGGGTCAAGCGTCCACCTCGAAATGGCCTTGTGACCTCCAATCATCTGTAAGAGACTGGGTCCAGGCCCCCTGGATGCCTCACTCTGCTGATGTTCGAGTGCCTTGCATAGAACAACGTAGGATTTGCGTGGAACCTGCACACACACACCCCGTCCACTTGAGTCATCTCTAGATTCTGTGCCCCTTACGCTATGCCTGCACGTCACTCCATTCACATCAATTCACTGTGGTATTCAGGGAGTGGGAAACTCAAGGTTTTTTTCTGGAACATTCTGTAATTTTTTGGTAACACTTCATATCCTCAGTTGGCCGAGTCCATATATTCAGAAGCTGGGGATATGGCAGCTGACTGTGATTGGCTCCCTGTTCCTCCACCTGTTCCCCCCACCCTGGCTTGGCATCAGTGGCACACAGCGCCCTGCAGCGATGCCAGACGTGTGCCCGCAAGGCCCCTCTGCCCGTGGCCTTGCCCATGGCAGACAGCACTGCTCTGTTCAACTTCACTTCTGAGGCTCTCTCAACACAGTGCTCCAGCCCCACCTACCAACTGGCCCAAGCTGCCATTGGCTTCACACACATTTGCCAGCTGTTTCCTGGTTGCCTGAGGTACCCTGTGAGGCCGAGATGGGGGCCATGCCTCCAGGACTGCACCTGTGAGGCAGCCAGGGCCTCAAATGGGGCAGGGGGAAACTGAACCGCAGTGAAGCTGCGGCCGAGGCCTCTGCCCACGCCGTGTGGCAGGGATGGCTCCATGGTAGACCTGTCCTCAGCCGAGGGCAGGAGAGTGGTGCTGGAGGGGGGCACGGCTGTGTGTCCCCAGCGGGTGCCCTCTGGCAGGGACCAGGCCCGACTTGGCCCTGAGAGAGTCCAGGCAGGACGCTGCGCCTCTCCCAGCTCTCCTCCCACTTCTCAGGTCGCTGCCCTGGGCCCTAACCCAGCGGTGCAGTCTCTTCTGCGATTCCCAGCCTAGCCCTCCCTGCCCCTGCTCCCTGTCTCTGTGAATCCAAACAAGCCACGCAGCTTCCCGTCCCTGTGCCCGCAAGCCCTCCCTCCCCCTGCCTCCAGTTCCCTTTCTTACCTCTCCCCCCGATGCTCTCTTATTCAGTTGTCAACACCTGATGATGCCCAGGGAATGGTCGGTGCTCCCTCTTCATGGTTCCCACTGAACTCTGTTCCCAAGTAGCAGCTGTCAATTTTTAAATTTTACTTTATTTTAAAGGCACAGTGACACAGAAAGGGAGAGAGAGGGGGAGAGGAATCTTCTATTCCCTGCCCTCCCCATACCCCCAAATACCCACAACAACCAGGTCTGTGCCAGGATGAAGCCAGGAGTCAGAAACTCCATCCAGGTCTCCCACATTGGTGGCAGGGGTCCAAGCGCTCAGTACCTCCTCTGCTGCTTTCCCAGGAACACTAGCAGGGAGCTGGATCAGAAGCAGAGCAGCTGGGATTCCTCTGGGGCTCCGATGTGGGATGCTGGCATCTCAGGCAGCGGCTTAACCTGCTGTGCCACCATGCTGCCCCTAGTATTTTGTCTTGCAATTGTTTTAGCAACACATTAATTGAGCACATAGTGCAAAGGGTGTTCCAAAAGTTCATGAAAATGCATATTATGAAAAAATTATGCTCAAATTTCATAACTCCTGAACCACAATAAACATATCTTTTAACTCCATTTTCTCATGTACTTTCTTTTTTTACAAAAAAAAAAAAGATTTATTTATTTGAATGGCAGAGTCACAGAGAGGCAGAGAGAGAAAGAGAGAGAGAGAGATCTTCCACCCGCTGGTTCACTCCCCAAATGGCTGCAAAGGCTGGAGCTGGGCCAGGCAGAAGCCAGAAGCTTCTTCTGGGTCCACCACGTGGGTGTAGGGGCCCAAGGACTTGGGCTATCTTTCGCTGTTTTCCCAGGCCATAGCGGAAAGCTAGATGGGAAGTGGAACAGCCGAGAAGCGAACCAGCACCCTTATATGGGATGCCAGTGCTGCAGGCAGCAGCTTTACCTGTTCCGCCACAGCGCCGGCCCCGTTCTCGTGGACTTTCTGAAGTGCCCTCGTGTCTACAGCAGACATGCACTCGGACCCAGGACACCGAATCGGAATCACAGGCTGAGCGGAAAGCCCATACAAGGAGCCTTATTTCATCCGGTTCCCTCCAGGAACCAGAGTGCCCGCCAGGCCACAGCTCCCTCCTGGAGCCGGCCAGTGCCAGGATGTGGCTGGGGCCCCAGAGCCGCACAGGTGAGCTCACATCAGTGGCTCCCCAGGAGCGCGGGGCGCCAGCTGGTGAGTCAGCAGCAGCCGGGAGCTGCTCAGTCACCCTAGGGAGCCGGCCAGTGTGGGTGAGGTCGGAGCCCATGTGAGAGTCTGCTGCCAGCTGGGCGGGCTGCCAGAGAAACACTCAGCCCCAGCATCTGCACTGATTTCAGGGGCTTCTCAGGCCTCCCGGCTTCTGTGAACGCCAGAAGGGGGAACTTGAGCAAACCCGAGAAGGGGAAGTGCCTTAACGGCTCGCATCACCGATGTTACGGAACTGCGGCAGCCCCAGCTCTCCTGGGTCTCCATGGAGCAGCTTCACATCTGTCCCCCAAGCGTCCATCAAGCCTTGCGCTAGCTGGAGCTGGCGCGTTTTACCCTCTAGCCTCGGGGTCGCTTTCTCCCTCCAACTTGCAGAGCGCTTTGTCTCCAGAGCCCTTGCTCTCTGCCAAGCTTGGAGGGGGGAGTGACCAGGAGGAAATTAGACCGAGTGGTTCCTGGGCCAGAAAGAAGAGACCTGGCTACATCACATGAATTATATTAGCACAGCAGTAAGGATCGAGGCCTCCTGAGAGCTGGGGGCAGGTGCTGCAGGAGTCCCCTGGGGGGAGGATTTGAGGCTCACGTTGAAGAGTGACAGGAGGGGAGACGGGAAAAGGCAAAAGAAAAAATCTGAAAAGGAAACTTTGGCAATATGCCATTAAATAAAACTCACAGGAGGCACCAGTCTGGACCAGGCTCTTACCCTGAGACCAGGCTGAAAATCAAAATGAGGTCACCCACACTAATTCACATGATGCTAAGGCAAAGCCAGAAACCAGAGAAGTGGCAGCTGCCTTTCCCAGACAGGCTGAGTACGGTCAGCCTGGGCAGAAGCTCCCCCTGCCTGGCTGCTTGTGACCCAGCGTAACCCAGGGTTGACCAATCCGTGTAACCCAGGGTTGACCAATCCATTACTGTTCAGTCGCTCTGTCTCCCCGTCCCCTCCTCACACATTCTGAAATGCTCAATCCACTTTTGTTCTTTGTTTCTGCTCCTTTCAGCCTCTCTGTCTACAAAAAACCAACCTCTTCTGGCCGACCCATGGGAACACTTACTCCAAAGTGGACGGAAGTGTCACCTGATTCTAATTGGAAAACAAAGGCAGTGAAGCTCTTTAGATGGAATAGTTGTATTTATCCTCTGACAACATAAGAACAAACGCGGGCATTAGCCTGTTAAAACACCAGGCTCCCCACTGATCCCTCTACACACTTGATCTCCAGTCTTTATTGTGTTTTATTTATCTTGTCTATCTGGGAGACAGAAAGAACCCCTGTGTCCAGTTCACTCCCTACATACCCGCAGCTGCCAAGGCTGGGCCAGGCCAAAGCTGGGAGCTGGGAACTCACTTCAAGTCTCCCACACGGGGTGGGTGGCAGAGACCAAGTCCTTGAGCCATCGCCTGTCGCCTCCCAGGATGCCCAACCCAAACACTTTGTTGTGGACATCAAGGTTAGATCATGGCCACCTTACAGACAAGGACACTGGGTCTGGAGGAGGCTGCCTTGCCTAGGACACCCTTGACCCTGACAGAACCAGGACCCAGCCCAGGGCAGTTTGGGGCTGACGTCTGGACCGCGCGGCCTGCACAGAGAACTTGACTTTCCCCCCTGTCTTGCCTGACAAACTCGCCTGCATGTTTGAGGTGAGCAGATGTCTTGACTACAGCAGCGCACGCCCCCACCCCACCCCCCCGCACACACACAAAGGCCCCAATTCCAGGTCAGGTTCCGCGGCCCTGCTGCTTGCCTGACCTGGTTGGTACAAGAGGGACATGCTGTCCAGCTGGCCAGATAATCGCTCAGGTGACAGGGCCACTCCTCGAGATAAAGGACTGTTAGGTGGTAGGTGGGTGATGTGTCAAACTATTGCAAGTGCTTCCTGAATCTCATCAACTCTGGGTGCCAAAAACTTGTGACATTCCCTGCAGAGATGCCGAGAGGACACCTGCTCCAGCCCTCAGGGCAGAGACTCGGGCTGGGAGCCTGTGCCTTAACTGTCTTCAGAAACAAGCGGGCTGGGAATCGGGTTTTCTGGAGCCTTCTCTGATAACACATGAGCCTGTCTTCAGAGTGGCTTTATGCTGCCTGATAAATACTGAGTCACACACTGAAAATTCCAGGTGCCGCCCACAAGATCACAGGCCCCAGCCCCAACATGCAAGTGTGCTTCTAGACTGAGACCTGGGATCTCCCCCTCGGTCTGCTTCTTGCTGGCTGAGCGGCCTCTGGGGAGACCCCCTGCCTCCCCTGCCTCTGTTTCTCCAGGTGCACATGGATGTGGCAAACCTCACCAACTACACGGAGCTGCGCACACAGAGGAATCATTGTGACAGCAGGAGCAGAAACCTAACTCAAGGTCAAATTCGCCTGTTCTGCCAGTAACCTGATGGCGTTCAGGGCCAACCCAGGGCTGTGTACTGGGCTCATGAAGGTTGATGTTGGGTGAGCACCAGCCTCTCTGGGAAATCTCTCATCCCCCAGCAAAGCGTGTGCCTCCTGTCACTCTTCAACGTGAGCCTCAAATCCTCCCCCCAGGGGACTCCTGCAGCACCTGCCCCCAGGGGCTGTGCGGGGGCCCAGAAAGTCGATTCCCATCTCTCACCCTTGAGTGGATCCTAGCCCCTCCCTGGAGCCTGCAGCCTTGTCTGGGCAGGGCAGGCTCGGCCCTTGTCAGGACAGATTTTCAGGATGGAGAGGCTTGTATCTGGGTTCGGCTCTGGTAAACAAGTAACCTGTCTGCCAGATGACTTTCTCCTGCTCCTTGGGAGCCTGGTCAGTTCCCGGGGAGGAGGATAAAGGAATGTTTCTGATAAACAGGTGGGCATGCTTCTTTGTGTCTCGGCTCTCTGGCCAAGATCCAAGATGGGATGCACTGCTTGCCTAAAATCTTGGCAATGAGCCCCCTTTGTCCTTGGGGGCTTTAAGGGGGAGCCGGAGCAAGCCTCTGCTGCTGCTGTTCCATCCCGGGGGAACACGCAGTCAGGTTGGACGTTGAACGTGCCCGTGATGACTACTGATGATGTTTGGTTCTCAGTGTGGATCCTTTTCCGGTGCTGTGTGAAGATTGCCTAGTGGTAGATTTCCAGGTTGAGTCCCCTACCCTCAGGGACTACCCCCTCCCCAATTCTCTCTCTCTCTCTCTCTCTCTCTCTCTCTCCCTCTCTCTCTCTTTCCTGCTTCTTAAAATTTGCTACTTAAATAAACTGCTTGTTTCTTAGCATTGCAAGGCTCGCAATGTATGTCTTGCAGATCGAACTACAAGTAACTAAGTCTGTGCACAGCAGACAGCTGAAAAAATAATTTGCTGTCACAGCCCTGGAAACCCTGGCACACAGACCAGAGACAGCAAAGTGGCCCAAGGTGGCCCGGGGCGGGGGAGGCACGAGGGGGGTGAACAGGTGGAGCCCAAGGTATGTTCAAGGCAGTGAAACTTGTATGTCTGCCTCTGAAATGGCAGGGACCCTGCCTAACCTTACACCTGGGCAAAACCCACGGGCACAACACTAGGAGGAACCCACAGAAACTACCCCAAGAGTAAAACTGTGAACTATGGACTATGATAACCCCTCACGTGGATCCACTGTGCGTCATGAAGGTACCAGACAAGTCTGATAACCACAGGAGAAACTGGAGAGGAAGAGGGAGAGGGGAATTCTCTGTACTGTCCACGCAATTTTCTGTGGATTAAAAAACTACCCTAACAAGTAGAGCTGAAGGCACACGCTTGGCCTCCCAGCTGAGACACCAGTTACGGATGCCGGCCTCCCACACGGGAGGCCAGTGCCCAGCTCCCGCCTCCAATTCCAGCCAATGCAGACCCTGAGAGGCGGTGGTGATGGAGCAAGGAATTGGGTTCCTGCCACCCACGTGGGAGACCTGGGCTGAGTTTCCAGCTTTCTGCTTTACCCTTGACCAAGGCCCTGCTGTTTCTGGGTTCTCTATGTTTCTCCCTCCCTGCCTCCCTCTCCCCTACTCAAATGATTTTTTTTTAATTTCTTTAAAAAGAAGAAGTAGCCCATAAGCACATGAAAGGATGTTCAACATTATGAGTCATCAGGGAAATGCCATTCAAGACCACTTCTCAGGGCCAGTGCTGTGGCGGAGCGGGTTCAGCTGTGGCCTACAACGCCAGCATCCCACACGGACCTGGGTTCAAGTCCCGCCTGCTCCACTTCCAATCCAGCTCCCTGTGAATGTGCCTGGGAAAGCAGTGGAAGATGACCCAAGTCCTTGGACACCTGCACTCATGTGGGAGACCTCAAAACAGTTCCAGGCTCCCAGCTTCGGCCTATACCAGCCTTGGCTATTGAGGCCATCTATGGAGTGAACCAGTGGATGGAAGATCTCTCTCTCTCTCTTTCTTTAGCTCTCTCACTCTCTTTGTAGCCCTAACTTTCCAAATAAATGTCTTAAAAAAAAAAAAAACTGCCAGAATGACTACTATCAGAAAGATAGTTAAAATAAATGAATAAAAGGATGCCTGGGACAGCACCACCCCGCGTCGGGTGCCCGTCCCAGACCCCGCTCTGCTCTCTTCCAGCTCCCTGCTCACGCGCACCCTGGAAGGCAGCCGTGATGACTCAGGTTGATGATAATAGCGCTAGGGAGGCTCCGGGGAAACTGGAACCCTCGTGCCGCTGGTGCCTGTGCTACAGGACAGCCCAACAGATCCTCGGGTTCGACACGGACAGCGCAGGATCTAAGGTGAACATCCAGGAAAGTGACAACACAGTAGCCTCCCAGAAAGGCACAGGAATGTTCACAGGAACATTACCGCAGTCCCCCCAAAGTTAAACAACCCACACGTCCGTCAACCGAGGGGTAAACAACAGGTGATGTGTGCTGTGCTACGCAGGCTGCAACAGGAGTGCAGCTTACCAGCCTGGTGCTGGGGCCCACGCTCTGGCACAGGGGCTAAGCTGCCAGCTGAGACGCCCACACCCCATGTGAGCACTGGTTCAAGACCCGGCTGCGCCACTTCGCATCAGCTCCCTGCTGAAGCTCCCTGGGAACGCAGCAGAAGACGGCCCAAGCACTTGTG